AGTCAATAAATCTCTAGGGTTATTTTATATTCAATTTCTGTCAATAGATAATTTCACCTAAATCTTACACACTTAACCTTTAAAGGAAAGATTAACAACAAATTCTCTGTGAGTAATCTCCACATATGCCGCTGAACAATACACAGGTTCTCATGTTTGTATTACATCTTAGTATTTTTTTACATTTTCTAAATTCTTGTTTAAGTACATGAACTGAAAACTGTTCACATTGAAGGGAACTTTGAATGAAAATTAATTAACAAAAAAGCTCTATATTTCAAAAAGAATTTGAGATGAAACATCAGAATGTGCTGCTCTTTGATTTTGACTGGTCAAATATCCAAATGGTTTATTCACCTAAACTCGCTCCTGATGAAACAGTGCAGCGGTCCTTTGTGTCCTCTCTCAGATCTCCTGTCCTGGCTGTGGTAGTCTATAAATAGCTCTCTACAGTCTTCAAAGATTAGGTGACCTTTGGGTGCAGGACAGGATGTGACCTGATAAATACATGCAGTATATACAGAAGTAGCACTTGTAAGATAAAGTGTCTTTTTCCATGGCGAAGATGAGTTGGCATGGTTGGGTGGATGAAAAAACATATTTTTCAAAAAGGGGACAAAAGTAGATTTTGATGATGAAAAATTTAACAATTTATTGTTGACAAAAGATGATATGAAAATGCATTTACACATAAACATATGTCATATATCATATATCCCCTCCTGCTTGGCACCTGAATCCTCTTCCCTGCTGCAGCTTTGGAGACAACAGCACTAAAAACCGAACTCTCAGGTGAGGCCTACTCTTTTTGCACAATTGTAGTTCACATTTGAAACATAACATACTTCTTATGATGACAGAGAAATGTACCCTGATGACAACAGCAGCAACCTCTGAGCTACCAACCAACTGTACAGTTCATGCTGAACATGGAGTAAAAGATGAATCTCACAGTCGATGTGCATCTTTTGCTGTTTTTGTGGTGTTGGCTCTTTTCTTAGCCATTGGCCTGGCCCATTACCCACTTTAAGACATTGATCACCTCCACACGTACAGATATTCCATCAAAAAAAGTTCCCAGTGACAGTGGTTGTATAATCTTGTGATTGGCATTAAAGAAATACAAGCAAGTGCACTTTTTCTCGTACGGAAGAAAGATAGTGTGTGCAACAGGACTGTTCTCCAGAGCTGACCCAGCACAGTGGAGAATTGCTATCATAATATTAATTGCAATTGTGTTATTATTTATGCCTGCATGTCTCCAGCTCTCAAAATGTCCTGTGTGGAAAAAAAGATTTCTCTTTGTAAGATTCAACCTATTATGTGTAGGAAATTTCATAATATTTTCAGTTTAATATTTTTCTTCTTTAAAATCATGCAGAAGTTGTTGAATGTTACAACATTGTCAAATATATTTTGTAGAAGATCCAATGTTCTGTAATCAAACTTTATGTATTCAATTTTACCTACGTCAACGATTCAGAGCCCCATGTCAGCCTTTTCACCTCAGCTGTAACACTGGTTCAAACTGAAAGATAATCAGAAATCCATGGAACAAATGATGGGATAATAACAGATGCCTCTGCAACAGATAAAGGCATTCACATTATTAACTCCAAGGAAGTTGTGTTTTTGGACAATTTTTTTCACTTTCTTTAACATAGATATAGATAGGGTTAAGAGAACAATCCATGAATCTTGATTTTAAAAATCCAGATTTAATCTTTACTAGTGATTACATATGAAACACTGCTGCATGATACTACAGGTACAGTTGGTTGAATGCTCACTGAGCCCGGTCATGAAACACATCAAGCTCTCACGTGACTTAAAGACATGAGAAGAGTATATTTTCTAAACACAATGACCAGAAGTGTAACAGCAACAAACTGATCAATTGGTTAATGCAACCTATATAAATAAAACACATTAACTGGCCCAATGAGCTTTAACTAAAGCACTTCATGTGCCTTGTTTCAAAAGGTTTTATATTGTTACTGATCTGGAAAAGTTACAAAGAGCAGTGAGTGACCATAGTGAATACTTTCCCTTTCCTAGTAATTTACTACTGTCACTGATCCTGTCCCCAGTGAACAGTTAATTACCACCACCTACTGACTCATCAAGGGCATAACACGACTCAATACAAAGCGAGAAATCCCAATTTAGTGGAGATCAGGGGCAGGTTCTGGGCTTATTCCCTATAAGGTTTATCTTCACTGCTGACTGTACCTTTCAGAAACCATGATCTCTCAGCAGTCATTTAAGAAATGACTGATTGTTACATAACACCACTATTTTGTGGAATCTAAATTGAAGGATGTAATTTCATTAGTTTCCCTGTCGGAAGAAAAACTGCAAACAAATCACATCTGGCTCTCATCGTTAAATCTTGTAAGAATATAACTCAAAATGCTCGTCCTCATAGCTGAACAACAAAATAGGCATTCTTCCAAAATGGACATATGATCCAAAGCAGGGGTTCCAAAACGTTTCAACCCTAACCCCTAAACAGACAGACTCCAGTGAATGAAATGATACAGCACCTGTCACAGTGTCTGTAGCAATAAATTCCCCTGCTGCGGTCTCTAATGTGGCATAAATATTAAACAAGTGGTCACCATTTACTTCAATTGTATTTGATTCAGCTGCTACACTGTTTACCCCTGAAACTCCAGAAGTGTTTTGTGGACTCAAACCCTTCACCCACCCCTCTATCGACACAGGGGTGAGTAGATAATGAGTGAATTTACATTTTTGGGTGAACTATCCTTTAAGCAATTAAACCTACTTGGTTAATGTTGATAGAGGGTTGTGGCCATAGCAACAAAAAAAACGTTGGCCGACTCTCACCCGATGACCCAAACCATACCACCTGACTACCTTCATGAAGTGTGAGTCATACCAGCATTTAAATCAGTGCAAGATCAATTCCTTTTAGAGGAATTACAGCAATTCGTGAATGTGGTCTCAGGGGTGAAGGACCTGTGCCGACCATTACTAATTTGTGCATACAAATCATTTTTCCAGTTTGGTGAACTTGTCTGGCACCACTAGCAAATCTTCTCAGCTGTGACCTCTGTGGGAATGGATAATAGCTGTATTGCACCATCCACTTTATTAGAACCATGCTATACCAGAGAATGAACTGCAGACAGCGATGGCACGAGTCTATGGTACAAATGCGTCTCCTGAATAAGTAGCTAGCAGAAATGATGTTCCCTGCTTAGTGTCCTAGCGGTTAGCTTGCCATCTACAGTCGTTTAAAATCACTTCATTGACCACTTCCTGGTGCTAGATGAATAGATTACGAGGTTGCTCGTGTGGGAAGTGTAACTTTAGGTTCTTTAAGCATTCAAACAAATGGCTATCAATGACGTCATATTGATGGTGATGACACTCTGAAAAAGACATGTAGGATACAGTACAAATACACTTCAAGCATGGAAGGTTTGGGATTAAGAAAATACTATACCCTTAATCAGTTTTCCAAATCCACATGCTTCATCAACATATCTGATATGACACTGGAACACTGAGATTCTGTGGTCTGACGAGACAGAAATCAGGTATTTTCGAAAATGGTGACAGCAGTCTCTGTATCCATAATAATATTAAATACATACAGATACGATAAAAACAATACTAGATGGTTCAGAATTATTTCAGAATTTCACAGGCTGGTGTCAGCTGTCTTCATCTTATGAGTGCTGACAGAGTTGGGTAGAGTTGCAGTGTCAGGCTGGCCGTCCCTGCAGAAGAACACAGCAGGGTTTTTACAGGCCCACATTGCCACCTCTCCTCCCTTTCCAGGACTTGAACTGGAGAGCCGGCTGTTATTATTCATCCCAACGCGACTTACATAGCGGTCCCTAATCCTTTCCGCTTGATTAAGCCGAATCTCACGGTTCTGGGTTTGGCCGGAGAGGTACGTAGCAATATTTCTGGTCCGATAACCCTCCTCTCTGCTCCGTCCCAGTAACATGGATATATTTGGGTTCCGCAGGGCGTAGATCAAAGGATTGATGGCTCCATTTGCCCAGGCCAGCCAGATGGCCACTGTGTCCATTGTAGGGTTGAATTTGTAGTCTCCCATTGCTGTAACCAACCCCATTAAACAATATGGCCCCCAACAAAAAATGATGAAAACAATCATAATGAGAACTGTGGTGGCTGTTCTCATTTCACTATAAAATCGTAATAAGTAAGCATATGTGGTCACTGGCCTGACTCGGATCTCTGAGAGGCGCACTGTCTTACAGATATTATAATGACAAAAACACATAAGGGAGAAGGGCAGTAAATAACAAACAACAATCAGGCAGATACTGTAAGTCGTCCCCATGCGTGAGGTCCCAGAGTGGAACACATACATACAATGGTAGAACCCTCGCTTATGGATTTCTGTAGGTGTCCTTACTAGTAGATACCAAGGTAAAGAGAAAATGACAGCAGTTACCCACACAGCTATCAACAACTGAGTTGCTTTCTGGCGCCCTATTTTAGCCTGTGGCTGTCTAACTATGGCGTAGTACCTGTCAAAGGAAATCAAAGTCATAGTCAGGGTGGAAATGATACCAAAGCAGGTATTGAAAAAGCCATTGGCCACACAGAAATGATCCCCGAACATCCAGATGCCGTCCTTACTGAAGAGCATTACAAAGGAGAAAGGCAGACACAGAACAGCTGTGAGGAAGTCGGACAGAGACAACGACATGATAAAGGCGTTGGTCACCGTTCGAAGTTGCCTGTGTTTGATGATGACGATGACGACTGCAGAGTTACCGAGGCAAGAGAGGAGGAAGATGGAGAGGAGCACCAGGGCCTGAGCTGCCACTGTGATGCCATGCAGGACAGAGTTGCCCTCAGTGGTACTCAGCAGTGCTGGGGTCGATGCCTGGTGGGTTTGACCGAGCTCGCTCCCTCTTTCGTCTCTAAAGGCTGTGGTTCCCACTGTGGTCTCTGCGGTGGCTGTCACTAGGCTGGTCACTATGGAAACAACCCTAAAGAACCATAAAAGAATGAGAAATAATTGTGCAATCAGCAAAGTCTGGGCACAATATGTTTCCACAACTGCCAACATGCCTCAAATCCCAAAAGTTAAACACTTTCATTAGGGCTGGGTGTCGTTTTAAATACTAGTGTGATGCAGTGCAAGAGTTTATCTAAGGTCCAGTGGCATAACTAATAAATAAAAAGAAATATAATATGAATATATAATAACTATTATTAAAATAATAAATCACCTGATCAAACTGTGTGGCAAGCTTCTGGTAACTGAGTTTCACAAAACACGCTATCTCAACAGTATCAAGGTTTGACACCTGGTTCTACACTATGAACTTTTTTTTTAATATTTCAAAACTTTCAATCAGAGTAGCCTGGTGGTTTTTTGTGTTTGACCAATAAGATTCAAGTTATGTATTTTGTCCAGCTGACATTATTTTCTAGAAACAGCGACTTACAGGAGCAGTTACCATTTTTCACATTATCAATGAGCAAACCAAGGTCGCCAGTGTGTTGTCAATTTGTTTATTGTATTTGCTGACTTTTTTTAATAGAGTGCAATGAAAAAAGTTGTCTTTCCTTTTGAATGAATGAAACAAAATTTTATTTTTCACAATTACTACCAGCAAAATGAACTACGTCACTCAAACATTATATTGTTGGAGGTGAAGACAAGAAATCTTTCCTCCTCTTTTGCTTTTTCTATTGTTTAATGCTGTCTCATCTTCCTGCAAATGTTCCGAAAGTCAAAAGATCCAAAGCAAAATTTGAGAATGGTAATTTTCATTTGGACCGAGACCAGTCAGCTCCAGAAAATGGTGAGGATAATGGAGGTGCCGGTGAGCAGGTGCCCCTTTGTTGCAATACAATCATAACTTGCTTCTCTCTACTTTAACCAGCTGTAATTTCTCAGACGGCTGGATGGGTGATTGGACTGTGTGAATTACCTCGGCACAACAGGCGAGGGAGTCACCAGCTGGTCGGTGAAGCTCGGCCTGGAGTCTTCCGCTGTGAAGTTGCTCCCCCACAGGGCCGTGCTAACAGGCGACTCCATCGATAAATCGATAATGTGCAAAAACAACACAACAAAACTCATCCCCGATCTCACATGCGTCCAGGCAGAATACTGTCTGTCAGTTTTGGTTTCATGGATTCACACGTAGCTGCTGACTCCTCCTCATCCATTTTGGATTTTGTCCATATCAACAGAAAACACGGAAAGACAGGAGCAAGTCTGTGTTAATAGTCAAAGACGGACTTATTAGGTTAGTTGGAAATCTGTCATTGTGTGATAGCAGTTTAGAATTGTGGTAGATCAAAGTATACAGTGTGATGTCTGACACTTTTTAGAATGATGTATATCAATACTCTACACTATTGTTGAACTTGATGTTGTATTAGCTGCTGGCTGCTCATTTTCTCTGTGCCACATTATAAATGGCCCCAGGAGCTTTTCATAAAAAACACATGGGTTCTGATTAAGCAAATGTTTCACATGAATTCAATGCGATAAATAGAGTTTACAACAACAACAGGCTTCCATCAGATTCTCTTTACAGGTGGAATAACCTGATGTGTGCTTTGCATCTCAAGTCTCTTGCTGGAAATATATTTATAATTCCATAAACGTTTACTTTGAGATCAAATGAATCACCTTCAGCAGTTATTAGTCTGATGCAATGTGTAATGCAGAAACACTGAGCTAGTTAGGAATATCATCTATTTCATGTGAAGCCTAATGCCAGGCTAAAGTTTTTTAAAATAGAAAAATAGCCATGTAGACCCTCAGTTCAACGGCTCACCCGGACGTTGTGTTAATTGATTACATTTGGTGACAATGTAAGGTTTTACTAAAGCATGCCAAATCTAAAATGCCCGCCATTATATCTATGTCGTCTCCACGCACACACAAACTGCGCCTCGGTCTCTCTGTTTTCCTGACGGTGCCTGAACGTCTCAGGCACACAGCGGTCTGTGTATCCAGGAAAAAAACAAAACAACGACGCGTTCACGCACAACTCCGTCAGTGTCGCTGCTGAATGTCGGGACCCGTGCAGTCCTGCAGGAGAAGAGAAGACGGTCAGTCCGTCGGTTGTCCCTCAGCCCATCAACGCCGCCGGAAGAGGAGAGAGAAGAAACACACACTCACACACACACACGCGCACGCACACACCGTCGGAGAGCTGCTCCTGCCGCCCTGTTGCTCTCTCCCGGAGAAAAGGAGAAGCAGCCTCGTGTTGTTTCTCCTCCTTCTCCTCAGAGCCTCCGTCAGGGAGCGGACCTCTGCAGATCACTGGCCCCAGATGTGGAGCAGACTGTGCATCTCTTCTTGACACTACGATCCCCCCCCCCCCCCCCCCTCAGTAGCCACGCCCTCCACATGAACGTGCTTCACAGCTTCGTCTGACGTTTAATACAGTTACCATGGTAACTGGTGATAGATTTTTTTTTCTTTTTTTTCATCCGTGTCCCTGTAATATGGCAGACAGTGAGATACAGTGTATGTGGAGGCAGCTGAAGCAAGAACAGTGTTCACAGTGAATAAATCAGACTGCACCTCACTGACTGTACACATGCGACTGTTTGGTGATTCCATCGGTGGAACAAACCCAGGATGTGTTTACATTACCTCTCTGAACCTAACACTGACTGTCCACATAACCTGCACTGTGAATTAGGATCAGTTATAAGCATCCATATCAGGATGTAGTATTGTCACATTTTAGAATTGCTATATTTAAAGGTCCAGTGTGTAAGATTTAGGCGAAAGGGATCTATTGGCAGATATTTAATGTAGAATAATCCTCATGATGTTTTCACTAGTTCATTTCATCTAAATTGTATATTTAAATACTTTATATTTACATGGAGGGGACCCTCTCTATGGAGGCGGCCATTTTTTTTTTTACATTAGTCCAGACTGGACAAACTAAACACCTTTTGAGTTTTTGTGACAACTGAAGCTACCACAGGTTCTTTTTCATGTTTGGAAGGAGAGGGTGAGGTGAGGGGTGTTCAGCTCCAACATGCAACTTCAACACTAGATATCACAAAATTCTACACACTGTACCTTTAACTTTGATATGCAATATTGCACCCACTCCTTAATATATGTCCCCTAAACATGCCTGATTCATGTCATTACGATCGATGGATTATTGTAGATGATGTAGTTATTATTGTTAAAGAACGTGAAAAGGTATTCCTAAAATTGCACCCCGCTCCGAATCCACACACAATTTAATGGGTTCTCTCAATACATTACATTTCATTTAGCTGACACTTTAATCCAAAGCAATTTACAATAAGTGCATCAACCATGAGGGTACAAGGCAGAAGATGTGTAAACTTTCCGCTGTCCTGATGTCAGTGGGGAGCTCCTTCCACCTTTTTGGAGCCAGGACAGCAAACGGTTGTGAGTGATTAGGTGTCCCTTACAGTGAGGGAGCAGCTAGCCGATTGGTCGATGCAGAGTGGAGTGGACGGGCTGGGGTGGAAGGTTTGACCATGTCCTGGATGTAGACTGGGCCTGATCCATTCACAGCACGATATGCAAGTACTAGTGTTTTGAAACGGATGTGGGCAGCCACTGGTAACCAGTGAAGGGAGTAGTGTGAGTGAACTTAGGTTGGTTAAAAACCAGTCGAGCTGCTGCATTCTGGATGAGCTGCAGAGGTTGGATAGGATTAGCTGGTAGACCAGCCAGGAGGGAGTTGCAGTAGTATAGGCCTGAGATGACAAGAGCCTGGACGAGAACCTGTGCTGCCTTCTGAGTGAGAAGGGGACGTATTCTCCTGATGTTGTGCAGCATGTATACACACGAGTGGGTTGTTGCAGTAATGTTGGCAGTAAGGGAGAGTTGACTCACACAGTTTTTTCCTGATGTTAACCAAAGGATCTGCCCCAATTTGCCCCTGACAGCTCTGCTGTTCTCATAGAAAAAGTGCTGCAAATAGATTGCAATGCATGTATGTGTGTGTGAATGGGTGAATGGCAAAAAACTGTACTGTAAAGCACTTTTAGTGGTCATCAAGACAAGAAAATCCCCATACAGATCATTTACCATACAGATTTCTATTTGGGTTTGCACAAAATTGCAAACACTCAAACCAACTAAAAATGTTTGTATTAACGGAAGTTTTGAAAAAAGCTAAATTTTGCAATGTTGAAAAAAGTGAACAATTCTGAATTACTCCCCTGATCACCAGAATTAAATGATTTCTTCCCTGACTCATGCTTAAATAGTTTATTAAACACAGATGGAAACCCTAGAAAGGTGCTCTGAGAGCCCATACCTTTGCATTACCCTGTCTCACCATTTTAAAGCAGTATATCCCGTGAATTATCTGTGTCGAGGAATTGTTGACCATCCTCACACGTGACATCTATACGCCATTAGGAAAATAGAGCCAGCCTCATTCCACAGATACTCCCTTCTCTCTTCGATTTACCCAAGGTCAGGTTATAGATAAAGGACCAACCAACAGAAAATTGTAGTGTCTGTGTTGAAGGACTTTCATATCTTATTCAGATGCCCCAAACTCCAACTCTTTCACGTATTACACCAGTGGCGAGGACACATTGTGATTTAGGAACGTATACTTACTATCCAATAGGCTATGAAAACCTACATGTAACATAGAGAGTGACAGCAATTCTAGCCATTCATGGATGTGCTGTTAGAATGGGTGACGCAGGAAGAGGAAGATATACTTGGATGCCGTGGGAGACATCTTCAGACTTGGGGGTGACAATTGCTCATGTTGTTCTGTTAGTCATTGTATATGGTTGCACCTTCTGGTCTCCTTGATGCATCGAGTCTACATTAAATCTTCTGCATAAGACATCGGCTGCTGCTGAGTTCTCCTTTCACCAGCTTCCATTTGTCTCGCCACGGTTTCATAATAAACCGAAATAGATTGACACTTCTAATAATATAATAAGAGATCTGTAACTTGATGTTTTGCTCCGTTGCTGCATGTATAGCTGTGTGCAGTGCTACCTGCAGTTGTGCACCTGTAACAAGAACAAAAGTCATGAAAGTGAAAGCCATAGCTTCATGATTTTTATGATGGATTTCTTAACAAGTGGAGACATCTGCAGGTCACTTTAGACAACAATATTTGGGAGAAGATGACCCAGATAGTTTCCATGTATACGTAACTAATTGATACATTTATTAATTTACATTTTCATTTTTCTTTCTATCTTAAGTATATGCTAACATTACCATTCTGTCCTCTTGGCTTCTATTTTATTATATTTACACTATGACACTTAAATAAATTAACCTTCATCCACTCTCCGGCTTATAAACATATCAGCTTTATTTTTGCCAGTGGGTTCTTTTGTTTTGGAATATTTACTTTCACTTCAGAGTTATTTGTCTCCATTTATTTCTTCATTTGTCAATTCAATGTGGGAAGCTTCACAAACAATAGAGTTTGCTGTAGCTTTATGTTTAAACAAACAATTTAGTCATTGATTTAGTTTACATTTATGTATGTATTTATCTGTCTTTCTTCTATTACCATTGTTTTACGCTATTATGATGCTGTATCTGCTCAGTGATATATACTGTACACACTGAACACTGTTGTTTATTCCCTCATTCTTGGACAAGGGGCGTTAATATTGTAATATTTTGTGTCATTGTACCGCTCTGCGATGTCCTGAAAACTGAATCAAATATGTTCGAAACTCTTCATATTCTTTGTCTACTGGTCGAAACAGAAACTCAGATCCAAGGTATATTGATTACCAAGAACTCACAAGCCAGTGAGAAAAATAACACCAATAACAACAACCCAAACACTTGATGAATATAGAAACCCCTAAACAGTTGGTTACAAAGAGACATGAAACTGTTAAGAAGAATGGTATTAACATAAGGAAGGATATGCTCCACTGGTGTACAATAAATTGTGGGGTATGGAGCTTGCATTTAAATGTGACTTTTGAATATACAAGCTGCCCCATCAACAAGTCCTGTTGTGCTGTTTAAAATATCCATTCAATCATAATTCTGGCCCCCTGAGGAATAACACAACCAGATTAGGTAGAGAACAATCTGTGATGATGGAAGTTTAGATGGAAAAAACGAATTATCGATCATAAATCTAATAGATGGAAATAGCTTTTTGTTCTTTGTCACTGTGGAAACAGATTCCTAGACGTCACAACACAATATATGCATTTAAAGCGAATCGGGCGACTTGCAGTTGAAGGTAGTAACTCTCCAGTACGATAGGTGGCGGTGTGCAATTTATCATCACTGTTTTTGCAACCCGTCAGAAATCAGAAAAGAGGTCCCGTTTGAGTTGCGTGTGTTTCCGGGGTTAGCCATGGGTGGATTGTAAGAGCGATAGAAAACAGTGTAGCAGCACCGAGGCGAGGGTATAGTGGTTCATCTTCACTGGTCCAGAATGTGTAAGTAAGACGTGTATTTAATGTGGCGTGTGTTGTCCTCTCAGAAGTATTCCACCGCGCCTAATCACAGCGGCTACTACACTAGCTCCCTGTCAACTAGCTAGCTAACTCCAATCCCACTGCTCTCTGCTCGTCCGAACCCTTCATCGGGTTATGTCTCTGAACTTGAATGAAGAGACGATTGCATTCAAACAGCGACTCGTACAATGTAACTGTGGTTGTTTCGGTCTCGAGCTAACGTGGCGTTTCTCTCCAGAAAGCTCACGGTGTGAAATGCTGTTGCACAGATAAGAATAAGACGAATGCCTGTACAATGACATTATAGAGCCCCTCCACAGTGCAAACATATGAGAACAGCAAACATGAGTACAAGATGTCCCCTGTGTTTACATTACATGCCACTGGAACCAAACGAGAGTTGTCACAGTGGGAATTCTAGTAGATAAATGATACACATGAATGTTGAGCCCCAACTGCTTGATTCCACCAACGTCACTAAATCAACTCATTTGTGTCCATAATTTAAAAACCTGTTACAAAGTGCTTGTGCTGTCAAACTGTTGGCTGCTGTCTAAGTTGTGTGTGTGTGTGTGTGTGTGTGTGTGTGTGTGTGTGTGTGTGTGTGTGTGTGTGTGTGTGTGTGTGTCCTTGCAGCTGTGGCCATGAGCTCGACGTGTCCAGGCCTGTACTGTGGCAGGATGATGGTCAATGGATCAGTGGAGGGAGACTGTGGTGTGAGTATTAAACACCATGCGTCTGACTGCTACATCTGTGCGGCATCATCCATCAGCGCTATGAAAGAGATGGCTGAGACCCAGTTTAGACCTGATGTTAACACACGTCCTGAGTGATCTGATCACCAGCGTTCATTTTAGGTCTGAACGCACCCAAATGCGTCCTCGATGTGTCCTGACTTCTGATCGCCCACATCAGGGTTTTTCCTGCATAAAGAATTGTGATGCAGCCGCCTCCATCAAATTTCATGTCACCTCCCGACAAAATTGTAGTACAGTGGAAACCACTTATGCTGATCACGTTTTTATTACTATAAAATGATTGTATAGCTCCTGTATGATAGACCCAGAAATCGAGGGAAAGGAATCAGCGCCACACACATGCACACTGACTCCTCTGTTCACTTCTCTCTCTCTCTCTCACTGACATGCAGACACACACACACACACAGCCATCGGACACGTGTAAACTCAGACTGGGTGAAAACAACAAAATTTGTAAACTTAGACAATGTATGGCGGAGAGCGCTCGGTTGGCAGTGTGAGTGGCTCCCTAGTTGTCTGCCCTGGGCTTTGCATTGGGTTGATGCCCTGGGCCTGGTACACCTACCTGGTTCAGCCTCTCCTGACCCCCTCTCTCTCCCCCTCACTTTTGAATTGTTCATGTTTTTTTTTTTGTTCAGCACTATTACATGTATTGTACTCCTAAAATGGTTTGCCTATAGTTGTATATTTGCCATATAAGCCTTGGCTTGCTGAAAATTGTTGGGTTAGAATTTTTTTTGGGTGCTTTGAAACTCACTATATCTTCACACTGAATTGATTTATATAGTACTTTAATGAAAATGAAAAAATACCTTACACCTGTATGTCATGTGCATGTAGCCCATTCATGAAAAATACTCATACTTATAATTTTATTATTTGGAATAAATCCTTGCCATCAATAAACTGGAAATCTCAGATGGTTTTTTTCCCTATAAGTGTGGGTTAACAGTGAAGGCATGAAATCAAACACTAACAGAAACCAGCTCTTATCACAGTGAGGATGTACAAATATTCACAAAAAACCTATTTTGAAAGTATAAGAAATGTTTTTTTAAATCCCCAATCACTATTACAATTTGTTAACAAAGAGCAGTAATCCAATCACAGCCACAACAAGAAACCATGAACACAAGCGGCTGTGTAAAAGCAAGCAGCAGGTCACGTGGGCGACTTTGTCTCACACTCGCTCAAGATGGCTGACTCAACTGTGAGAATTGAACAGAGTGTGTGAGAAACTAAAGGAGTTGATGGCATTGCTCCTGCTACCATGCTATCTCTGCACCAAGGGTGTCTGTGAATACATTATACAAATGTGTATTGTGTTTAGCAAAATGAGGAGAGAGAAGCATGCACTCTAATCCCAGTCACTGTGGTGAGACACATTAAACTGTTCTATTTTACCACACAGTAGCACAGCAGGCCTGATGCTGGTCTTCTAACTGGGGAAATTACAATTCACATGCTTTTCTTATGTTGAGGGCATAAGCAGTCAAGGATGTGGCGGTGCACAGTTCTAATCCCAGCCGTCTGTTTGTCTCCTGCCAGGTGTGTCCTCGTGGAGAGCGATCCAACCTACAGAAGGTGTGTGAACGCTGCACTGATTCGCCCGAGCTCTACGACTGGCTCTATCTGGGATTCATGGCCATGTTGCCTCTGGTGCTGCATTGGTTCTTCATTGAGTGGTACTCTGGAAAAAAGAGGTGGGGTCATGCACAATATGACACATATGCACACACACACACACACACACACACACACACACACACACACACACACACACACACACACACACACACACACACATTGACTATAACCTCAGTAACAATAACACACATGATCATTCACATTCACTAGGCGTGTGCATGTAAATTTCTCTGCATTTGTTTGCTTATTTTAAAAAAATATGTCAAATGAGGATCTCCAATGAAGAAAAGTAAGAGTAGGGATTGCTTGTGATTCATTATCCATGTTGCATGAACCGATTGGTTTTCTTAGAAAAAAGTTCATATGATAAATGAGTGATGAATTGTAAAGTTCGCCCTGTGACTGACGACCAGATCAGGAAGTTAACTCGGTTGTCTGTGTTTACACCAAGAGTAGGGCGGATGTTGGAAAATGCAAAATGGATGTGTTTTGAGACAAAGCATATCAGTGTAGAAGTACGTGTGGATGTGTGTGAGCGGCAACAGTGTAACTTTTGGAGCAAACTTCTGTGGTTTAAATAAAGTGATCAGTCCCCGATAAAACACGGTATGTCATTTTTTATTGTCCGAATCCATCATCTTGCTTTTGCCTTGACCTCACTGACTTCATATTTTTACGCCAATTTAAATGTATCTGCAGTTTTGGATAAAATATACTTGGGCGGCTGTGGCTGAGGGGTAGAACGGTCATCCTCTAACCAGAAGGTCGGCAGTTCAAATCCCAGTCTTCCCCATCTGCTTGCTGAAATGTCCTTGGGCAAGATGTTGAACATTGAATTGCCCCTCATGGAAAATAAAGTGCTGCTAATAGATGCAGTGTATGAATGTGTGTTAAAACTGTAAAGCAGAGTGCTTTGAGTGGTCATCAAGACTAGAAAAGCTCAATATAAATACAAACCGTTTTTACCATATGCTATATTATATAACATTAATCAGTGAGGTTATTCTGTGTAGTTCCTGAAAGAATTTAGTTTGCTCTTATTGATGATATCACTTAAATCAGTGGAGTGGCTTTGTTTTGTGCTTCTCCTGCGTCTTTTCTCAACACAGCAGTAAAACACGAGCCAACCCATGACTCATTGCATACAGTAGACTGTGTTTACAATTTGAGCTTACTGCTGCTCTACATGTTCCAAAACACGTCTCATTTACTTTGTTCTCTTTGTTGCTGGAATACTAACTCTCCACACGTTGTGTTTGTAGTCTGCAGTGTAAAACTCTGTGTTTGTGTGTTTAGCTCCAGTGCTCTACTACAGCACATCACAGCCATGTTGGAGTGCAGCGTGTCGGCCCTGGTCACTCTGCTGGTCACCGAGCCGGTGGGGATACTCAGTATCCGCTCCTGTGGCGTCCAGATGCTGTCAGACTGGTACACCATGCTATACAACCCCAGCCCAGACTATATCAACACCATACACTGCACCCAGGAGGCCGTCTACCCACTGTAAGTGCCGATGCTTGGGTCGCTTTGAAAAAATAGTTTATTATGCAGTTGAAGACAAAAAATGGAACACATACTCAAAAAGATTTTAAATTAACGTCCCTCGTGCTGGCCGCAGGAGATCGTTGTTCATACTGTATGCTTGTGATGACGTTATTACATTACGTTACTGATTGGGCAAAATGTGGTAGCAATGTGTGGTGGTGCCAGAGTATTTCTATCGTCTGCCTGTGGGGGGATTGTTGTTCACACGATCATATTCAGATCGATTGAAAATATAATCATAATAATAAATGATTTATAGATAATTCTTTTTGCAGCAGAAAGCCAAGTTTCTACATTTAGGAATATTGTGGAACAAAACAAAATCCCCATATAAAGAAAGCCACTCAAGTCAAAGTATTTCATAATACAGTATCTTGCAGGATATGAAATCTTGTTTGTTCTGTATTGTGTGACATACGTTTTACTAATAATCATCTAATTAATAATTATTCTGGGAAAACTCAGTGTTGTCCCCAACATCAGATGTTTTTGAGACCATCCTTTGTGACGTTGTCGCTCTCTGGTTTTGTGTCCTCAGTTACACGATTGTGTTAATCTACTATGCATTCTGCCTGGTTCTGATGATGCTGCTGCGCCCTCTGCTGGTGAAGAAGATAGCTTGTGGTCTGGGCAAATCCGACCGCTTCAAAAGCATCTACGCTGCTCTCTACTTCTTCCCCATCCTGACAGTGCTACAGGCCGTGGGAGGAGGACTGCTCTGTGAGTTCATATTCCAACCTGAACAACTGTTTGAGAATTGTTTCCTTTTTTTATGTGGTTGTGACCATATTACACAGCTGTTAAAAACAAAATATTTCTTTTCATGCTCTGGTCAGTTTTTAGATTTTGGCTTATTTTGCTGACATATCTTCTTTCAGACTATTGATAGAAAACTGGAACATGTTTAGGTTGTATTTATTTCACTTTGCCTATTTGCATCTTTAGATTTAACTATATAAACAATACATGCAGTATCTTGAAAGGCTCTTCTCACAAAATGAGTTTGTTCTCACGCTCTGAGCCAGAAATATCCACATCAGTATCACTTACATTCACCAAACCCTTTAGGTTAAGTCCTGTCTTTATCCTGAGAGCTGAGTGAGGGTTCATTCTTATTTATTCACACCCTGCTTCATTGAACTTTTATTCTGAAATATCAACATAATGTATTTCATTCAGATGTAAAAATGTATGTAAATTAGAGCATATTAGATTTGATAATGTAACATTTCCATATTTAAACATAAATACAGAGAATGTGTAATACAATAATTACTAGTTGTATAGCTTGACGTGTGTATGTGTGTGTGTGTGTTTGTGTTTCAGACTATGCGTTTCCTTACATCATGCTGGTGCTGTCTCTGGTTACACTGGCTGTTTACATGTCTGCCACTGAGATTCAGGTAACCACACTCACTGCCCCTGCATGTTAGTAGTCACATTCAAAGTGTCCTCACACCTGTAAATTGAACTGATTCTAAAGTTGGTTTGCTGCAGTAGTCTGTTAGTCACACCATCTGTTTGAGAAGCTAAATATTGTGCATTAAACGGATGCTGTAAATATAAATTGATACTAATGTGAATAGATAAAATTGCAGAACTGTCTTTCTTTGTGTATGTTTGTGCTCATACATTGAGCCTTTAACAGAAATGGCAAATTATAATAAATATGGAAGATAGCAGGGGGGTGGTAGATCTTAGTTTAGGCTTGGTATTAAAATTGATCTTGGGCTCAAAGGTTGGTGACCACTGATGTAATAGAACTTTTCATTGTTTTACATGTTACTTGTTATTTATTTACTATTGTGTCACTTCCTCATATTATTATTATATTATTATAATTAGTTTCAGAGGAGCTTGTGATTGTGTCACTGGCCTCACAAACAGTTTCAGACTTATAGAGCATTTGATTTGAAGTGTCCATCGGAAGCTGATCTTCAGTGTTAAGGGCTCTAACCTCTTTCCTCTGTTCATCCACCACCACAGTCTTTCAAACACCTGGTTGCTAAGAAGAAGCGTCTGGTCGTCTTGTTCAGCCACTGGCTCCTCCACGCGTACGGCATCATCTCCATCTCCCGACTGGACAAGCTGGAGCAGGACCTACCGCTGTTGGCCCTGGTGCCCGGTCCCGCCCTGTTTTACATCGCCACAGCAAAGTTCACAGAGCCCAGCCGCATCCTATCTGAGGGCGGCAACGGCCACTGAGCTGCTGCCGTCAGAAGTCCAACAGACATCGGTGTTAGTCATTAATAATCCAGTGTGTTTAAATGTCTCATTTAGTTTCACAAATGAAATATATTCTGTTTAGAATGATTGAAAGTGCAGATGCTCCCAGTGTAGAAGCAGCAACCAGTCAGTGTTTATAGTTTGTTAAAGAGCAGAACACTTGATTTATTATCAAGTTCACAACCTGCGTTTTTACTCACATGTCTTATATTTGTTTTACGTCATCCCAAAGTGTCCTGAGGTGTTTTTTTTTTAATCACTTTATTCAATGTTGTACATATTTTTTGTAAAATACAGATCATGATGTAAATGGTAGAGTGAAGGTGGCCTTGTCAATCACACCTCATCTGGGCCTCATGTATATACCAAAGTGCAATAGAAGTCCGCCTCAGCCAGGAGACACTGAGTCTCATTGAACCATCACGTTACAGTGACAGAGCTGAGCATGTTCCTGTCATGACAACATCCCTGAGCATCTTTGAAAAAGCCTCCACGACTCCTCGAATGAAAATGACATGATGTTGCTTGATTTGCACAAGACACATTTACAAGGGTTCTTTTTTTAATGTTAATGTTACTTTGTTTAATTTGAATACACTGTGTCATTTATGTTTTTGTCTTGCTCAAAACAAGAGCGCATTAAGAAGTGAGCCGGGACAGGAGATTCAGACTCAGAGGGCTGAGGTGCTGTCTGGATTGGTGGTTGAAATCATCCAAAGACAGACAGGGATTCGATTAGAAATGGACCTCCACCCTCGGTCTAACATGTGGATGAAGCTACTGGACCATGAATGACAGAAAAATGTGTTAGAAGTCTGAAGTTCAGACACTTGGCTGCAGGAGACATTAAGTAAGAAAATTCCCTGAGGTCACTGAAGAGTATAGTAGGTGCTACATCTTAGTGTCTTTTTTCAAAGGTTGTTAGGGATTTATCTCATTAACAAACATTACAATATTCTAAAGGCACACACTTGTGTTAGTTGGGTGGGGCATGTTAATAGTGCACCTGGTTTATATTAAGTGAACTTCCTTGTATTTGTGTATAGAAGCACCTGCCTGGGTTTTTGTTCATTTTGTCCTTTTGTACCGACCCAAGCTGCGATCCTTAAAATGGTCTTTGTGTTTCTCAGTTGAAGCTGCTAATGTTGTGTATATGTATATGATTGTAAATATGAGAACGCTTGTAAATATCAGTATATTTGTGTTCAGTGGGATTTGCTTCATGCACACAAGCTCCATTTGCAAAGAAATGTCTGTGGGTAATAATAAAGTCTGAATAACTTCTGACACCACATGTTCTGTTGAGTGAACCCTGTACTCAGGGACGTATGACTCATAAACACATACCTGCTGCCAGGGAGGTGTTTATTCGCTTCAGACTGCAGACACACCTCCTGCTAATCTAATCCAGCTCCAGTCAACACAATCTGCAGAGCAAGCATGCAGGGGCAAGAAAAACGGTGAACACATTCGGTTCAAGTGACAGCATGGGGGGGGTTATTCAGATTGAATACAATTTAAGTTTACTTGTACAGTCCTTATTTACAGATCACAGTTTTCGTCATATGGCTTAACAATCAATACAAGGTGCAACATACCTAATGCTTGACTGGAGTGAGGAAAACCACAAAAGGACAGAGGGGGGGACGCAGAAAGATCAGGGAGAGTCCCAAGTGAGGGAACCCTCTCTCAGGATGGACACAAGTGCATGTCAGCATTTTATTATAATAGACAGACACGTAGTGATGCAAGCAGCATGGCTGTGGGGACAGCCTTGGATCACATGACTGCAAATAATATTCAAATAAAATATGCAAAAAAAACACACATGCAAAAACTCAGTGACACCCAAAGAACAATTTTTAGGAACGCTCTCTTTTAATCAAAGTGCCAAACATTTAAATTCAACATCTCTTTAGCACATACAACTCTCAGTACGAATGCTTTATAAACAAAAACTTGTGTTCAAAATAATTTCTTGAAAGGACAGATGCAGCATGAGTTACAGTGAGCGAGTGGTAATGTTTCCCCTGTACTCAGCAGTTAGATTTAGAACCAGTGAAAGGACTACAGTGTGTGATCAGTTCACATGGACGCCTGCACATTTAAATATGTCAACACAATGAACAAAAACAACAGAAGAGTGAAATGTGATTAACTGTAAAAAACTACCTGAGACTATCATTACAATTAAAGGTCCAACCAAACTAACATCCAGCTCCACATGTTGCCATACTGTTACATATTTAACAGTTTGGGGGGGGGGGGGGGGGGGGGTGATGATGCTGCATGTATTTTTAGGATATGCTAAATGTGAATATATTTCATCTGAGCAGAGCAGGTAAGTGTTGACTATTAGCCATTTTAAATTATCCTCGTGGTGTCCTCAGCAGATCGTGTTTAGGGAACTTGTACACTTGCTCATGGCTCATAAAAGATACTGGTCATGTTTGCAACTGTGGAGTCAACCATGACTTAAAGCTCGAGAACACGTCTCTCAAATAAAAACGGAATAATCATTCATCCAACAATACGTCCCACTCTAGAACACTAAATTTCCGTTGGTATTTCTGTGACTGCATGTAGTTTTGTGGAGAGGAGGCTCAGACTGATTGTCAAACCCTGGGTTCAGGAGGAACAGTGCACATTCCATCCTGACCGTCCAACACTGGACCAGCTCTTTACCCTCGCAGGGGTGCTGAGGGGATTATGGGAGTTTGATCATCCAGACAACATGTGTTTGGTAAACTTGCAGGAGGCTTATGGCGGTGTAAGCCAGGTGACCCTGTGGGGGGCACTGCAGGAGTCTGGGGTTAATGGTAAATGTCTCTTCTAGTCTTAAAGACCAGTCAAAGGACTTAACTCCACGAGCCACATTCACCTGTTGATAAACACATTCATGTAGCACTTCGACACTTACATATATTACTTATACATCCCACTACCACATTGATGGCACAGCCATCAGGGGCAATTTGAGGTTCATCATCTTGCCCAGGGCATTAAAAAAGGCATTCAAGGCTATATTAATGATAATGATATAAACTCATGGGAAAATGCATTTAGTTTAAATCCACTTTTGTTTGTTTAATTGCAGGGAAAATGTTCAGTGTGCCACGCTCATGGTTAAAAAGGTGTGTATTAATAGTTCACCCAAAAATGAAAATTCACTCAGTATCTACTCACCACCATGCCAATGGAGGGGTGGGTGAAGTGTTTGAGTCCACAAACCACAATTCTTCAAATGTAAAATAAAGTAAAACATTAAATGTCTCCATACTGTTCCTGTGGTGTCGTCCAAGTGTCCATAAGCGTCAACATTTAAATTCCACTCAAAACGGCGTCATTGACATAATGTCTTTAGACTAAATGCTGGAGGAGGATATCAGAGGACACTTAGGCTTACAGACAGTTCAAAGACATCACAGCAGCAGTATGGAGGCATTTTGGGTTTTTTTCTGTTATTTTTTTTAACGTTTGAAAAATCTGTCACCATTTACTTTGATTGTATTAGATTTGATGTTTACTCCTGAAACTCCAAGTGTTTTGGGTGAACTATGCCTTTAAGAAATGGGTGTGTTTTGGGAGTAACATGCAACAAACCAATCAGAGCACCAGCTCCCAATCCCTTTATAAGCCCGGTGAGCTGGCACCTTGGTGGATTCATATTATGATGGTGGACCCTTCTGGCAATAAGAGAGATGCAGATGAAACAGATCATCTATCTGTGCGTGCGTGTGTGTGTGTTTGTGTGTGTGTGTGTGTAATAAGCTGAGTGTGCACTTGTTGTGCATCTTCTTTTGTAAAACGCATGATAATGAGCCTTAAAACAACAGTGAAATTCTGCACCACTGTCTCTTTCCACTGCCTCAAGATATAAATGCACCAAAAATGCATCTGACCACCTAATTTTAAGACCAGCACACCCATGGGTGCTTAAATGGAGGCGAGTACATTTGCATTACACTCATTAGTTAGTTAGGGCCCTTAGAGTTAATCCCACTTAAATAAAACAGGCTGATAGGTCCAGTTAACTTAAATATCATGCAGAATTAAAAATACATATTGAATGTACACAGCATTTTGCAATGTGACCAAAGCCCCATGAAACATCCGATGTGATATGCTTACATTGATATCATCAGTGTACCCGACCCGCTCTATGCAAACATTCACACTGTAAAGTCACTCAGCTGAACACCAGTGTAGTTTGTGTTTCAACAAAGTAAATCTTCAGTGTGTCACGCTACAGCTCTGCCGCACCAAAGGAGACTAACTGGAAGACAACTGTGTGTTACTGTCGGTTTGCACCCAGTATACAAATGTACTTTGTAAATCCACAGGCACGAGAATATTTGATCTGTTGAACACATTTTCTAAAACAAATCCCAGTTTTTACTTTTATCCATTCATCAATTTCAAACCTTTCCATGACTGTGAGAAATTCGTATTTACATTCTTCATATTTCTGACTACTCCCTTGAGTAGACTTCTTCATCTATTAGAGATGTGCAGATGTGCAATTTCAGGGCAATAACAATAGTTCCACTTTTCCATTTATCAGAATATCGTGTGCACAGGGGTCGGCAAGTAAGTTTGGACCACAGGCCAATTTGCGGGCCAGAAGATAATCAAAGGTTATTTCAAGAAATGCATTTGTGACCGACTGTTAGAGAACGCTTGGTAAACTGCAGGGAACTGAAGTAAACTTTTTACAGCAAAAAAGGTTTCACAAGAACATATTATGTACTCTGTGTCGGCTTACTTCCAGACGCCGATTCTCACGATTAGTGATTGAAGTCATATTCCTGCTGTGCCTGAACACAACAGTGTATGACGGCTAAGTGAGAGACTCCACACACATGTGAGCAGGTTGATCTCCTGAGAACTGGAACTCTTGGCCTCTGACTCAAATAGACACAAAGCCTTTCCCATGTGTTTCTGTTCCTTTAAATCACATGATCAATACCATTATTCACGTCAGCAGCAGGAGGGCTCGCCTGCTTTCGACTGAGGCTGGAGATGCTCCAGACAATCCTGGAGAATCCTGACTCAACAAGCTTTACAGAATTTCCAGAAACCAGCTAAAGTCCGTCTGTCTCTATCACTGCAGAGCAGTATAGACCTCTCCACTGCCCCCACCAAAAATCCTAGATTCACTTCATATTCCATCATGACATCCATTGCTATTACCGTCCTGCATGTATAAGTATTAACCAAAGAAAACAGCAGGCTTTGCTTATGGTCTGCTCTCATTACTTCTGGATGTAGATGATGATGATGCACAGAGTTCCCACCAGTCCCAGGGCCTGAATACCCAGGAACCAGAGCAGCAGCCAGAAGAACACAATCACTACCGGCTCCACTATCTTGTCTCCAAAGTACATCTGGCTGAAGCCCATCCCTCGCAGGCACTTGTTGAGCATCCCAAACAAAGTCCCCATCCGCTCACAGTCATCCAGCTGAGGCTCTCGGGTGGTGGGGTCGTCCATGTAGGGCCACCGGGCACTGGGATCGATGGGTGGTCCAGGTCGGGTCTGGCTGCCATCAGCCTGTGGAGACAAAGGTACAGACATGAACGGAGCGGCTCCTGCACACGGTAACTGCTTCAGACCAGATGTTTTCCATCTGCTCATAGGAAGTTTTTTTCTTCCCCTTCTTAACTTAACCCCAAAGAGTTTAAAACAGGAACACAGTTTCCTGAATGGCCACTTGAGACTGGCTCCAAAAACAAGTCAATCCCCAAAGACCCACATGTTAAAACTCTGCATCAGAATCAATCCTGTTTAGAGCTTTGGTCTCTACAGCTGATTCCCCCTTCATGACAACTTAACAAGGGCTGCCTTTTAATGTAGGAGCTGACTTCTTTATCTTTCTTTACAGTTTAAAGTTTATTCAAGCTTTAAATTATGCATGCTTAGGGGTGTGGCTACTTTGAGAGAGGTGCTAGCTTTCAGTTGTCTGCCAAGTGGGATCTCTTGGAGATTTTTGAGTTTTTGAATGCATAATTAGTTATAAAATGTGGTTTGTTGTGTCTAATTATTGTCCTAACAGAGAAATATAAGAAATATATTCAATTTGCAGGAAGTAAAATTCTATTGAAATGCTTTGTGACTGTCCAATGTGTACGAAATATGCCTGCACAATGCAACAGAGACCGTGAATACCAAACTGATGAGCTTCAAAGTAATTGAAGTTTTATCACTTAGACGTGAATATATCTGTTACAGAGGTGATCTATCACATACATGACTTTACATATTATATTTGTCTGAGTGAAGTTTTCCTCTGGGGATCCAGTCATCGCGTCAGCACCGACTCTAGGTACAGACTTGTTTCCATAACTTACAACAAATCAAGCAAAATTTTAAAAATTTTAAATTGGCCATAATACCTTAATATACATTACATTACATGTTACATTACCGGATACTTGATTAGGGCACAGCTTGCTCTGTGATGTCGCTCTTAGGGGGACATTTTTGACACAGGTTTGATGCTCCCCTGATACAAAAGGCCAAAGATTTTACCGATCACACAACATGAGAACACTTTCTGCCAACCCAGTCTTAAACGGCGCTCTGCTTCCATTCCCTGTAGGCAGAGTGAGTGTGCAAATCACTTTTTAGCGCTCATGGTTACAAAACAACAGCTGCAAACACAAGTGGTATCGACAAATTGTACACAGACGATTTAGTATTGCCTTCGCAGGATACTTAAAAAATGTAAATCCCTTGATAGGAAAAAGCTTCTCAACTCCTACTTGAATCCGCAGCACTGGCAACTTTCTCTACGACAGCGTCCTATTGCAATCTGATATTCTATATCGTATAGGCTTCGCCCTTTAAGGCTATCTCTAGCGCGTTTATCCCTCACGTGCATGCGCAGCACTGAAAAAGCTATAGTTATAA